GCAGGGTGGTCTGCAGCGGCCAGGACCTGCCGCACCCGCCCGACGCCAGCCTGCTGCCCAACGCCACCGCCACGCTGTGAGTACCGGCGCGGGCCTTGTCGGCCGGCCCGAGCGGGCTGCGGGCTGGCCGGGGCTTGGCTTTCCGCGATGTGGTGGGCGCCGGGGCATTGCCAGCTGGGTGCGGCGCTCGCCCGCGGGTCCAGCTCTAAGAAGCCGGTAGCCGGAGGCCTGTTGCTTTTGACAGGCGCGGGCTGGGGTGACCCCGACAGCCTTTAACTGGATGCTGGCACCCAGGGTCCCTTCCCCTGCTTGCTGCCCCGGCGCCGCGCCTGAGCTCGTGCGGTCGGGATCCGCACCTGCATCTGGCGCGCGGAAGGCGGCCGCGGGCATTTGAGCTGGCGCGAGAGCCGCAGCGTTTCAGGTTAACAAAGCTGAAGGCGGTGACAAATGTGATTTTCTTGTCACCGCTGAGGCTCTGTTGACATTTCTCTGGCTTCAGCGCAGAGACCACGGCCTAGCGCGCGAGAAAAAGATTGTCGGTATTGCAGCGTGTAACCGTCTTCTGCTGGGTATCACCACGGTGATACGAGCCTGCGTAGCCGTGTCGTTAAGCAAGTCACCCCCTCGCCAGCATTGCTGCATCAGCAAAGGCTTCTAGTACCGACCTGGACTGAAAACGAACACAGTCCCTTCCAGCGGTTTGTAGACGGGGTTTCCCTCTTGCATTTTCTCATGCCTTTTGAGCTGTCAGCGTAATTTAGAGCAGGGGTTTTCTTGGGGGAACTAAAAAGAAGTGATTCCTCTGGAAATAAGTGTTGTTTTTAATTATTTAAAAAAACCAGACAAACCCAAAGACCCAGACCCAGGTTCTAGGATTTATAAAACCTTCTCACAAAAGTGATCTTTTTTGTCAGATTTGACTTGATGGCATCCCTCTAAATTAGAGAATGTTTCAAAGTCCTGCACTTTATTTTCTTGCCTGCTGTTTTGCATGTGTGGGGGCTGGGGAGGGCAAGGAAAGGGACCTGAGAACTGAACCCCTGTTTAAAAGGTCTTGCAATCCACCGTTTAGTTCAGAGAAAACATTAGACAATATCTTACCTGGGTCTAGACTCCAGCCTTGAAATGGCTAATGCGTATGCTTAACGGTATGCACTGGCTGGGAGTTGTCTCTTTGCCTGGAAGCAGGTAGAAAGCTCCTTTTTTGAGCAGGATGTTTGGAAAAAAACTTGGAAGTGCTCTTCTCTGTGTGCTTGTTTTTGACCCTGTTAGTTTTTCGTGCTGTGCAAATGGGTTGGTTTGTTTGCTTGCTTTAATTAAGAAAGAAGCCAGTCATTTTTACATCCTGGCCTTAATGTGCATGGGTTTGGACTGGGGTGTTGGTTATGGCCGTGTTGGTCTAAGGACACGGGCAGCCAAGACTCTTGGGGTAGCTGGATAGATCTTTTATTAGAGCAACTAACCAGTTGTAAAAAAAATTGTTCTTTGCAAGCGTTCGGGCACAATCACCCTTCTTCAGGCAACCTTGTCTGCCTGCATTTGGACTGGGTGCCCAGGGAGGCGAGAGAGGACCGCGTTACGCTAGGAGGCAGAGCCGGTTGCAGAGCTGCGCTTGACACTTTTGTGGTTCTGTTTCCTGCAAGGCCTTTGAGCCCACCTGGCCATGCGTCAGCCTGTGCCCTACGCTACATACCAGTGACAAATTGTAGTCCAAATTAGCTGGTGATTTAGGGTGCCCAAGCTGAGCCCTATTTGTAGAGAGTGGACGTTGAGCATTTTGTCACGGACCCTTTTGAGATGCATCCAAAACGAGCCATCCCTTCTGAGTGCGTGATCAGGGTGCGCGTGGCACGCGTACCTGCAGACGTGTTTGGTGATTTGTGAAAACTGTCCCGCAGAACTGAACTTAAAGCTGTAAGAGCAGCAGCAACAATAGCATCGTAAGTGCTCGCAAAACACTAACGCCCAGGAAATGCATCACTGACACCTCCCAGATGCAATATTCCTTTCCGTCCTTTTAACTGCATCTGTATAATAACCTAGACTGCTGTATAAGAAGGTGGCGCCCTGCCTGAGCATCTGTCTACTAACCTGGGTGTACTCTGTTAGGATGTGGGATAACTTTCCCCACTCACTGGAGATTATCTTTCTCCCCCGCATTTTCTGTTCCAGACTGAAGTGCTTTATAACCCTTTTTCTTCCTGAGTGCAGCACTTTCACTACTCGCCTGCCTTTTCACAAGGGCCTGGTTCAGTACCTCATCTCTGCTCTGCAAAAGGTGTAAGCTGGTGATTTAACTTAAGCGTGTGCTTACGTCTTTTGCTGAAAATAGATACGTGGACTTAAGCATGCAGTTGCACGCTTTGCTGGCCCAGGGCTTGAGCGTACGGCCACATGGCTTCATTAGCGTAGTGTTGAAATGCTTTCAGGGTGGGAGAGGACACTGAGTGGAAGTGACTGCAGAAGCTGAAAGGGCCTTTTTGAAGACATCTGTTGGTGACCTAAAGTTCCCATGGCCGCTAATTTTCCTTCGTTTGGCTGTTTGAGAGACAAGCTTATTGCTGATAAGGTCCGACAGCTGGAGCTCACGATGCAAAGTAGCGAGGCTGGACTGGGGGCGCCGCGCACATTAGAGTACTACAAGACACCACTAAAATGTGACATGAAACCTACAGACGCAGGCAGAAACCTACAAATATGCGGTGACCCCAGACTTTCCTCCCTACGCTCGATGTGATTTATTTTAAACCTTTTCCAGATGGAAAAATCAAAACCAGAGGCTTTTCATTGGTGTGTAGCCTCCTTAGAGACCACTGGGTTGCAAGGACATTTTGGCGTGGTCTTTCCATTTGACTTTAATAGCAGAATTGTTTGGGCCCCGCAAATCACTAGGAAGAGCTGTACGTTTCTTGATGAAGTGCACTGCTGAAAAATGACTTCCCCTTCTTAGGAATCTGATGAGTAAGATCCATGAACAAAGGCTTGACTAACTCCCCAGAGAGGGTCTTTAATTCCTAAACAGTAACTGGTTCTTTATGAGAAATGTCTGGGTCTGTTTTGTGCACTCAGCACTTAAACACAGGGCCCAAATCCTGGCCTGAGAATTGGAAAGTGCTAGCACTGAATTGGAAACTGCTAGCAGTTCTGCCTGGCATCTGCGCCCGGGTAAGGTATCCCTGCTGGAGGTGATTCCTGTGCTGTGCTGGCTGTGTCCGTGGGGCTGGGTCAGGGTGGCACATGCAGAAACACGTGAACTTGTTCCCCGAGCTCTCGGACCCCCTCTTTGCTGTCTGTAGAGAAGCAGCCTGCTCGAGCTGAAGCTGTGGTGGGGAGTCTTATCAGGGGACGTTCAGGTGGGTGTTTAGGTGGGACCTACTGGGAGAACATGGTCTGCTGTGCTGCAAAAGGCCCTATCGTTCAGCTTCTCCTTTTCTCTTCTTTTCTTTTAAACCACAAGGAAAGTTTTGATGGAGACCAGGCAGAGCCTCCACAGCTGTTGCTATTTATTCTCTTCCCAAGTGAGAGTCCTCCTCGCTGGTCACGCAGTTCCCTTGTGCCCCACAGCCAGCTGGTGATGCCAGGAGGCAGGGGATGGGGGAATAAGCAGAAGGAGCAGGTCACCCGCAGCGTATCGCCGTGCCTGGTAAGAGTTGCCAAGACAAGAAAACGCCGGGCGCGGCGGCAGAGTCCCCTCGCAAGCTTTGTCAGATATTTGGGGGCTGATGTGGTGGGTTCCAGCCCAGGGTTTCAGGCTGGACTGGTGCAGGGTCCAGCTTACGCTGCCTTGAGAGCCCAGCGTGGATGGGAAGTCTGGGCTGTATGCTTCAACTCTTCCTCTGTGGAGCTCATACCATAGTGCTCAGCCAATCCTCGGGGAAAACCCCCTGTTCAGGAAAACTGCAGCTAATTTTCTCTTCCTCCCAGCTCCTCTCCCAGCCCTGCCCCCTTGAGTATTGTTGCTTCACAATTAGAACTAAAGCCAATGAGCTGCCAGCAGATGAGGTTTAACTGCAGAAATTAACTCCAGGTGGTGAAACCTCTCTGGCAAAAAAAAAAAAAAAAAATCAGAAAGGCGCAGCTCTGGGACCAGGGGAGGTTGAGAGCTGGGAACTGTCTGCTCTGCCACTGGCTAGAAGTTGTCCCATCCTGCGTGTGACTGCCACAGGCAGTGAGGCTGCAAGCGTGTCATTGCAGCGGCAGGAAAATGCAGTAAAGCTACTGCTTTAGCATCCAGCCGTTAGAAACCGGCTTGAACTGATGCTCTTCTTTGGTAGCAGGGACCCAAAGGCAATGGGCAGAGGCTGGGAAAAAACAGTGCAGGGAGATGAGAGGTTTTGCTATTCCCAGGCACAGTGGCTGGCAGAGGGGTTTCTCTCTCTCTTTGCTTCCCATCTCGCACATGTTTGCCCCCACCCACATTTAGGCCCAAGTTAAATCTTAAGTGTTGTACCCAGAACAGGGCAGGGAGGAAAATGAGGACTTCCCTGTTCCGGAGGAACCTCCCAAGATGCTGAGTGGCTCATTTTGGATGCACTGCTGCTGCTCTGGGCGGTAAAAACAGCACGGGCAGATCTGCAATGGCAAGGTTTCTAGATGGAGGAGTGTGGTCCCACCAGGCCAGTGCATCTCTCCCCAGAACCGGATGGCTCCCTCCTTCTGAAGGTGGGTTTCCTCTCACTTCTGCAGAGGTAACACGCTCACTCTCGAGGAGCCAGTCTGATAATAGTGCTGGGACTGTCAGTATCTGCCGCTCTTGTGCCCATGCATTGAGTTCTGCCCAGCCGTGCACAGAAAACCAGAGGCGGTTCCTTTCCTCTCTGTGTGTTTTGGGACTCTGTGGTCGGACGGGTTAAAAATCTCTTACAGCTTTGGCAAACGTCCTTCTGCATATGTGGAATAATTCATAGATCTGGTGCCTGACTTTTCAAACCAGTAGCAAAACATCTGCTTTGGTCCCAGGTCTAAACTTCCAGACCGGGGCTGATGTTTCTTTACCTGTCTGCCGAAGCCGGGGCGGGGAAGGGCACAATTAGACTTCTAATATAAGCGCGGTTGTGACTGTCATTTATGGATCGA